GACAAGGTGGATCTTTGGGAGGGGAGTATTGTTAGACCGGTCCAGCCGGTCCAGGCGGGACGGTTCACGGGCGGGAATCGCAAACAGGCGGATCTGGCGGAGAACGAGCGGCCCGTCCGCCCCCGTAAGAGATCATTTTAGGAAGCGTTTTTAGCGTTTTGAGAGGGAAATTTGAATGTATGGACTGTTTTGGGATTTCCTTTTGATTTGTATGCATTAAATAGTAGATTTTCCTAGGGTTTGAGCATCTTGAATTTGGCTGAAATTTGAGATCTCGTAGATTTAGGGTTTCTTTGGGCTCTAGCGGCGTCTAGAGATTTGGGAGAGATCGATCCTCCTCTCGAATTGAGGATCAATTGTATCTTTGCTGTTTTATTCATCTACTAGTGAAATACAAGAGTTTTTCTTCGTTTTCTATCAGATTTCCTTGTCAATTTGCTGTTTTTCTGCTGTAAACAGCAGATTTCTGCTGTGGACAGCAGTTTCCATCGGATCAACTTCAGTTTTGGTGAGAAACACTTGGGAACTCAAGTGTTTCCTATCAGTAGTTTCACATTATTAAACTTTGGCAACAGAAAAATTAGCAAAGAGAAATTATTATTACACAGTAAGAATTGTTGTTGTACCTAGACAGGAAAACTTGCGTGGATGAAAATTTACATTGGTATGTACGTATTTCAGGAATCCCATTCAGACTCAACTCAAAATAGTATCATACTATAATTTAAATGCAACAGCTTAAGTTCAAAAATATTAAGATCGATTACTTAAAAGTCCTGAAGGTTTCTTTCCAGATTACTTACAGGTTGACTATCTTAGATGTTTAACTTTCAGATCCCTTAAGTCTCTAAAATTTGCATTCAGTTCCAATTGTTAAGGTTCCTCATACAAAATCAGAAATATTTTCAAATGGCATATCTGAAAAGATTTTTTCAAGCATTTATGGCTCTCAAATATGAGACTGGAGAGGATTGTCAACACTCCATGAAAGTGGTAAATAGTAAACAAATATAAATATCTTTATATATAGGATAAAGTACTCTAAAAACCACCAAATTTTATTCTACTTTATAATTTGGCCACTAACATTTACAAAATTACAGAAAAATCATTATGTTATATTCTGGATAACAGTTTGATCATTTCTAATACTGTGTGGCAAAATAAGTCATGTTAAATACATGTAATAAATCAAAGGATAATATAGCCAGTAAACACATAAAAGTATCCATTAACCAATGATTTACTAAATCATGTGACAATTTCTATTGAAAATATAACGAAAATTTTATTAGTTTATGATACGCCTTGAAGGTGAAATCAGAGAGAAAAGGCAGTGAAAACAGCAGAAATTAAAAAATGATGGATGGTTTTTATATTAATTCTTCAATACCAAAGCAAGATACAAAGATCTACTACTAGAGAGGTCGATCATCTCTCCCACTTAACCTAGTGATGAGGACATCACCAGCATTTTCGACGCCGGAGATCGACGGCCACGAGCATGACTTGTATTTTGTCATTTTATGTAGTAGTGTATTTATTTTGATGTTTTTTCCACTTTTGCCCTTATGGGCATTTAGTCGCTTATGTAGCCCAGAAGGGTGTTTGTGTCATTTCTTATTTTTTCATTTTGGCCTATTTATATGAGGCCTCATGCATTGTAATTGGAGGTTTTGATGAATGAAAAATATTTGCCACTTATGATCTCTTTGTGAGTTCACCCTCCTCGATCTCTTAGTGAGTTCGTAGGAGAAGCTATATCTCTTTGTGAATTCTAGATCTTCTAGTTATACCATTTTTTTTTCTTTATTTCTTGTGATCGACTCGTCGTCGTGGAGATTCGGGTTGAAGCATTGGTGAAGAGTAGAATTCGCGCTTGAATCCAAAGAGTTTCCTCTACTATTTTCCCTCTCTGGATCCTTGCCGCCGCTCACTCCAGGCTGTTCAAACCACCGGCCACCCTGCCTCCAATTCCCGCCGGCTAGATCAGCCACCACCGGCCAGCCACCAACCTCCCGCCGGCCTGCTCCAAAACCCACCCCAGTCGCTGGAATGGCCCCTTTCCCGGCCGCCGGCTTCAGGCCACTGGTTCTCCTGCTTAGCCGCTGATTTCCCATCTCTCACCTCTTCAATTTCCATTAATTCCCCATTGTAACCTTCCTAACTTGGCTCCAAACGTTTTGGACAGATTTTGAATTTCAAAATCCTAATGAACTGGAATTAAAGAGCTTGCCTTGTCTTCTAAACCGTGAATTAGAAACTCTCCATATTAATTAAAATCTGATGATTTAATCAGATTTTAATTAGCAAACCTTTAATTAGTGGGGCCCACTACAAACCACTCAAATGCTCCTCCTCTCTCTCTCCCGTATTAACCCTCTTGTAACTTCCCTTATGTCTTTCCTTTTAGACTAATTTCAGGTTTGAAATTTCAAAAAAAAAAAAAAAAAACTGAAATTAAGTCTTCCCAATTGAGAAATCTGATTTACAAATCAGATTTTGTTTATTTCTCCAATAGCTTCACCCGTACCTAGCCCTTCTCCAGCCCGTGACCCTCCTCCCTCCACTTAATCCTTCCCACACTCCTTAAAACATGGAGTTTCCTACCTCTTAAACCTGCAGCCAGAAAATTCCAGCCTTTTCCATTGCATCCACAGCAACGGGAAGCCTTATAACTACTGTTTTCAGTAGACCACTTTGCTGTCCCACGTTCCTAGCAGCCGAGAAGAACATTCCAACGTTTCTTGCACCTGAAAGATTGCTGTCCAAGATCTGTCCAAGACCAAACTGCTGCTGTCCAGAGAAATTCTGCATCTTTTCCTGCTGTCCCGCCAGTTGGATCATCCTTGGACTACCGCCATCCTCCACCTCTCCGGCCACCTTTCCTAGAACGACGATCTTAGGCTCCTTCTTCCTCGGAGTGACCTCGTTTTCTAATGTGGAGACTCTTCTTCCGCTAAAGCCTAAACAAGTCGAGCGTATGGACTCCAAAGGTGAAAGTATTCATTATTAAATCGTGGACTCTTGTTACCATCGTAGTTTTACAATTATCTTTGTGTTTCTTGAATTGTTTGGTTGATTGATCTTGCTCTACTTTGCCTAACCAAGTTAAAGACCACGAATTCCAAAGATCAATCTTTTGCTATAAATGATAATTTTACTTTGGGATTATTTGTTTAAATTGATCTCGTTAATTTCTTAAAGTAACTCCATCGCATGTACGTTTCACATCACCTAGATGTAGCTAGGAAGCTCTTACCACAAGAAAAAAAACTACAACAGAAAATCAAATTACATAATAATCAAAACAAACCCTAGAATAAACTATAACCTTACAAAAATCCCACTCAAATTTGAATTCAATGAGGAATTATTTCCCTAATTAATTCCCCCTTAATTCCTCTCCTAATATAATAAATTAAAGGCTTCCTGGGCCCCACAAGGGGAGCTGAATCCAGCTGTTTGGCCGCCTCTATCTGGTCCGCCCCCTCTTGTTCCGAACTCAGCTGGACCGGCCAGTCCAGCTCTCTGCTGGCAGCTCCTGTAACAGCAACTCCCGTACAATTTAATGACTGCATTATCATGCAGTCTATCACATGTTTAACTTGGTATATTCTACCATTATATATTTGTCTTTTTATGAGACAAGAACAAATTCTAATCAAAATTAGAAATGTGTTGATTTTTTTTGTCTTTTCTTAAATACTAGTGGTCAAACAGTAAAGAATAAAATTCGATGATTTTTAGAATACTTTACCCTTAGAAGCAACCCCATATCAACCTTAGATATATACTAAATTAATGCACATAACTCTTAAAGAGGAAACATCTTGCCCATTATAACCATCAAATCATTCACATCATGACTTTTAACCTCAAACATAATAAATATCATAATTTTGATTTTGCGATGACCATTTAATTATTACTTACCTATCACATCATGCATGTCATTGTTTTTAAATTTAAATAAATTTTATTATTATTTTTGACTATTTTATTTAAGAACTTACTATTAAATTCTGTTTGTTATCTATTTTATTTAATAGGTAATTACATATCCTTATATATACTAGACTATAGTTCATAGAACCTGGGTGATGACAAGTGTAAGGAATTAATCCATACAGATGGCACATTGCATGGCCGCCACATCACAAAGTTTTTAACTTGAATGCAAATGCATTTAAAGCTATATAGCACATCATGCATGCCATTACTTACAAATTTGAATACAACAAGACATAATAGACCTAAATCATGAAACTAAAGAAATAATAGAGTATCAACTTCTGCCAAGAATGCTATATAAATAAACACACTTTCTGATCACTCAAAACATTAGCTAGTCATTCTTTCAACAAACCTAAATTTATCTTGAAGTAACATAAATTTTAGGAATAAGAAAATGTTCATACCACAATGCGCAATGCATAGGGATCATCATCCCTGTCTATTAGAGCAAGAAGCAAAATATCAAGAGGAAGCAGCTCATGTGTCCAAATGAAGAAAACAATGCCTGAGATTGCCTTAGATAGAAGGTCCTGCATAACATAACAAATGAGAAAGACATCGAGTCAAACTTAGATTTTGTTTGGGACGCCTTTTTTACTGCTTATTGAAGCAGCTTTTTAGTATAAAAATTAAAATTTTTGTACTTGAAAATTGCTTCAAGAAGCAGTAAAAAAGCCGTCCCAAACGAAGCCTTAGTCAAACAAATACATGTACATATTAACTCCAATTTTCCAAGAAAAGTATGCACAATTAGGATCAAAGACCAAACATATAAAGCAAGGAGATGTCTGAGGTTCTATGTATGGGGTAATGGTGGAAGCGGCAAGACCTGTGCTGCATGACCCCTTTGTAGCTCTAACTGAATATGGTGCAGAAGTACATCAACCATGGTGTATATATTTGATGTTACTTCTTCAGGCGAAAATTCCCTTAAGACGCGTGCCTGCAGCAGGCCCAACATTATATGTTCATATAAGCCATATAAAGACAAAGTTATACAAAATTACATGCAGACAGATAAGGATCATACAAGATTTGCACTACTGATACTCTCAGGGAGTCCATTCATAAGCACCCAAGCGCCAGCACAAAGATATTGCCGATGTTGAGGAAAGCTATGACTAAGATACGTCATAGAATAAGTTGGATCAGCCGATGGAGAAAGAAGCTGAGTGCACTGGTGTATCACAGTAGTTTCTGCCTGGTGAAAGAGAAAATTAGATACTGGATGTTAAGCAAGGCAGCATGCACATGAACAACAACAGTAAATAAAAATGGAAGCTTAACATATTCATAAAACTGTCATTTCAAAATAAAACTGTTTCAAAGAACTTTTGAGGGTTCTAGGACTGTTTGTTAATGTACAAGTACAAATCCGTGATCTCCATTGACAGATGGGAGCAGTGGTGAGTATGGTGAGGGGTGAGGGGGTTTGCGGCAGTAGGGCCACCGCCTAAAAGGACCATCAGTGTTCTCATCTGGAAGAGGGTTGGTAGCGGTGCTAATCTTCGTAATAGAGATAGTCCCCTTATGGAAACATTAAGACAAAGTATCTGACTCTTGAAGGAGCCATGACCAATTAACAAATCCTCAACTTAGAAAGTAAGCCTAATAATCACGCCAAAAAACAAATAAAGTAAATAGGAGTTAGGATCTAAATTTCTAAAAATATAATAAGGTTTAATGGCTCTAGTAAGATGCCAAATAGGCAGTATTTGAAGAAAGCAATACAAAATATAAACTAAAATAAGTTTTCCTTTGATATACCTTGAGCACTATTACAACAAGTGTTTTTAAAACCGGATAGGACCGGCTGGTTCAACCGTGAACCGGTTCAGTTGCCAGTTCGGAGAAGTTGAAAAATCAGATTTGTATTGAACTGATGAGAACTGATTTGAACCGCTGGTTCAACCAGTAAACCGCCGAACTAACTCCAGTTAGGTTGAACCGGCTAGTTCAATAAATAATATATTTTTTATTTAAATAAATTTTTAATATTAATTTTATTTAATTAATTTTAAATATATTTTAAAATAATATGCTTGTATATAAATTTAATCACAATATAGAGTTGCTAGCTCGCCACATCATGCAACTTTACTTTTAATTTGTGATTTGTGTTTTACACCATATCAAGAGAACAATTTAAAATTCCCCTAAGTTGTGGGACTAAAAACCTATGAGAATTCTACATGAGCTTAAGCTATCAAATATTCAAATTGCATGAGATACAAATTTGAATTAAAAATGCATATAATTTATTAAAGTTAGAAACATAATTTCTTATATTATAGAATGTATACAATTATATTAATTTTTTAAATTTAAGACCTATTTATTATGCATAATTTATATCATATTTAAATAATTTTAGTATTTATTACATCATCCGATTCAACCCCAGTTCGACCCTAGTTGAAACATCAAACCGTGAACCTTTCCTTCTGGTTCGTTGTCCGATCTGATTTCACAACCATGATTACATCATTGCTTATAATTATAAAATCAACATAAAATAACATAATGCATAGCATATTTTTTGACTCATTAAGTAAATCATGCATATGAACAATAAAAAATGAAATAAAATATAATGAATGTAGGGTAATGAAATCCTACAAGCCTTATGTTAACCATTATAAATGTACTGCAATCAATTAGAGCATAATTGATCGACGCGACGTTACACATATTGAGTCTGAGACACCTCGCTCAAGACCAAAACAACTCAGATGTCAAGTGTTTGTGAAAATGGAATGTGCTGATGCATTCATAACATTGAATTTATCAAAGAACAACAAGGTGAAAATACTCAAAACTCCGATAATGACCATACTAAAAGTGAATTTTAACTGGAGGGGGCTATTTTGAAATGTTAAGTGAGCTTAGATCGAAACCGATCCTCCACCAAAAAGTTGGCGGAGTTGACAAGGTTTAAATAGCAAAATGAAAGGCAAACCCTCCTCGATGGTTACCATTTTGAAAGTAAATCTTAACTGGACGGGGTAATTCTCATAATTAAATTTTCATATTGCAAACACATACATATAAGTGATTTCAATGTCACCACGATGATGGCTGCATTGAAAGAAAATCTTAATCGAGGAGTCCATTTAAAAAAATAAATAAATTTGACGTTGTAAATACAAATGTTTTTATAGTGACTTCAATGTCACCCCGATAATGATCTTGTTGAAAGAAAATCAAATCCTGAAGAGTCAATTCTCAAAATCAAAATTTTACATTACAAATACAAATATTTTAAGTGACTTCAATGATTCCCCAATATTGATTTTCTTAAAAGTAAATTTCAATCAGATCGGTCAATTCTCAAAACTCAAGTTTTCATGGTGCAAATACAAATATTGTAAGCAATTTTAAAGTCACCTTGATGATGGTCTTATTGACAGAAACTCTCAAACTCTCAATCACATGAGTAGTTGTATGAAAGCAAACACAATTTACCTATGTGAATGACACGTGGACAAAATTTGCAAACAAAATACCAACACATGTATCCATACGTATATTATTAAACCTAGGTGAAATTATATATATATAATCTTAAAATTCTTATTAAATTATCATATAAATAAAACAAATAAATAAATCTGTAATCAATACGGATTGTCCTGAAATCAAGCTGGATCCGTATACTATAACATCGCTAAAGTCTTATCAAGCACCTTAGCACTTCCTCTTCTCACTTTTTCTCACACAAGCCAACAACCACTTTTGACTTTATACCAAAGGATGGCAGAAAATAATAATCATAATTGGGGCCATCTAATCGAGTGATTTAACTATAAAATTATACAATTATAAGACAATCATGACCAAAGCACAAATGTTTCCCAAGAGCTCCAACTCCTTTAGTTGCATAAAGCCCTCTATTAGCTAAAGTCGGCTTAAAATAATCCCGTCAAAAAAACAACCACCATAAGTCCATAAGGCCCTCTTGGACGATGCAACCCATGGTTGCTGACACAAATCCTCCGATCAAGTAGAGTCAACTATCTTTATTAACTAAGCAAACCAGAGACCACAACAAACTGGGATAATAAAATCTTAATTGAGTTTGTCAGCATTTCCCGCACCATTCACTTTAAGCAAGTGACAATAAGTTCCCTCAATATAAGACCAAAGTGTTGCTAATATATTTTAAGCACTTAGCATTCATCAAATTGCTTTAATAAAAAGTTCTCTTTCATCATTGGGAAGGATAGTTGACCATAAATAAAGTTTACATGAAATGAGAACAAAATATCTGAGTAGTATCTTATGTGTCATCCATATTACCTTCTGAAAAATTTAACCATGAACAACAAACTTATTTAGAAGAGCCAAGCATAAATTTTTGAAACTCACAACAAAAAGAAATATATCAATCTGAAGAAAATATGAGAAGGGTTGAATGCTAACATTAGGTTTATGGCCAAAATCTATTTATTGTTTTGCTAGTGTAAGGGCACTCTTCAGAAGCGAGAAATATAACCTAATCCAATTATAGCAAAAAGTGGAAAATGACTAGCAAGGACAACATATGCAAGTAAAAAGTTAAATTTGCACAAAATTTCAACAGTATTAAATATGATGAATGCATTATACAAAAAATGAATAAATAAAAATGGATATAACTATTAAAGTTAAAGTGAGTAGCTACAATGAAAAAAATATCTTAGGATAGATTTTAATATAAACTATACAAAATTATAATTAGGCTAGGAGAAAAAGAACTAAAATGGTTATTTGACTCTTTATAAAAGATCAAAATAGTCTCATACTATATTAAAAAATCATTTTAGTCCCTCAACTCCTTAAAAAGAAACTGAAATAGTCCCACCATGAGACCATTTTAATTTATTTTTAAGAACTTGAGAGACCAAAATGATTATTTAAATATTTAACATAGTTGTGGACCATTTTGGTTCTTCATAAAGAGTCAATGAACAATTTTGGTCCCTTTCTTATTAGGCTAGCTATAGTATATAGATCAATGCATTAGGCAACAAAGAAGTCATAAACAATTAAGTTGAGCATAGTTGAAACATGATTTAAAAGGTAATTATGGCGTGCGCCTCAATTAAAGGCACACGATGAGCGCTTCGAGGTTTAAGCCTCACTAATTTTGGTGAGGCTTACACCTTTTTAATATCAGGTGTATGCCTCAAGACGTTTTGAGGCGTTGCCTCAAACACTTAGATTTAATTTAAGTTTTTTTCCCTATATTACCCAATACTTAATCTATTATCCCACCCACACGCACGTGAGGAGCAGTTTTACTATTTGGATCGGATAAGACTTGAGATAGAGTGGTTGTGCGAGAGTTCTTTGTCGATCCTTTGCAGCATCTCAGCATCAAGTTCATCTCCAACACATGTCAATAGTGCGACACCTCAACAATTGGCTGCAGGATGAATGAACAGGTTGGTTTATATTATGTTTAATAAAGAACAAAATGATAAACATCTCAAATTATATAAGTAAAGAACCACTGACGATGAATTAGATCATTTAGTTGTTGATGACTTGTACTTTGATGATGAAAGGGTAACACCAAGAAGTACTAAAGTGTTAACCTCTGTATAAAGAACAAAAAGGAAAGGAGGAAGAAATCTAGCGTGCAAACCTCGCACCCGCTGAATCCACGAAATCCTCCATAATCCCTCCCGAAATCCCGCCGAGACACTGTAACACGGCGCCGTCTACGTCGCTTCCCGCAAATCCTTCGCAGGCCTCGATCCGTGCCTTCTCCGCGCTATAAAATGAAAGGGAGGTCTTCGCTACTTCCACACTCTCCAACCTCTCTTCCACGCTCGACTCCACTCCCCGTGAGATTTCCCCTCGACCAACACTGCCGTCGACGACCTCGTGCAGGTATAACCTGTTTGAACTCAAAAGAATGTGAACGGTGGACTTGTGGAACCGGACTTGTACCAGATGAACCTAAATGAACTTAAAATTCAAATGAAATTGAAAGAAACAAGAACTTGGACAAATGATGGACTTGTGTAAGACTTGAGTCGGACTCAAGCTGAACTGAACTAGAACTTCAATTTGCCATTTGAACTTGTACCCAAATGAACTGGCATTGTGGACCTAAGATGAAGCTTAAGTTTGGACCAAATCATATTGAATTTAACTTTAACCTAAACTATAACTTAAGTGAATCACGAGATGGCTTGAGCTTCAATTGAACTT